TTCCGCGATGTGTCCGCGACGCAGACCAAACTTTTGGCCCTTGGTGGAGCTAGTCCGCGACGCGGACATGCTCCCTCCAAGCACAACTTCAAGCTGCCTTGGCCAAGGTTGGGGTCCTCCTCGGGGACCCTTAGGGTGGCCTCCGGGGAATCGTATACAAACGTTTTGACCCTAAAAACATTTATTAAGACACTAGGGTCACCTCCACTGATTTTAGACTCCAAACAACACATAAAAATATGAACAACATACTAGAACACACCAACACGTAAAAGACTAGTTTCCAAACGTCTTGTTTGTCCCTTGACGTTTGACTTCCAAACTCTTTAAAACTCACTTAAAAGGCTATTCTTCATTATTTTGACAAGTTATTAATGCATAATGGCCATCTGAGACTCTACTTTATCCTACTTCATTTTGAGGGTCGTTACATGGACTATGAAATGATTGAGGTGCCCCATAGTTGCAGTGCAGTTATGAAAAATGAGTCAATCACTACAAGAGAAGATCCTGGGGGATTCACAATACTGTGCGGAATTAGCATGCTCCAATTCGCTAAAGCTTTGTATGATTTAGGAGCAAGCATTAACTTGATGCCCTATGCAATATACAAGCAACTTGGTTTGGGTGAACCATAGGCAACCAAAATTCGACTCCTTATGGATGATTGATCAATCAAGCACCCAGTGGGGATACTCTATGACATATTGGTAAAAGTAGATTGGTTCATCATTCCGACTGATTTTGTGATTCTAGATTGTGAGATTGATGCTGAAATCTCCATTATTTTGGGAGGTCCATTCTTAGCTACCGAGAGAGCATTGGTGGATGTCGAAAGAGCGAAATTGAAGTTCTATATGAACGATGATGAGGTGACTTTCAATATTTGTAATCCATAAAGCAACCAAGTAATATCCATGTGGTGTCTACTGAGGATGTTATAGATGAGGCAGTGGCAAGTGTGAGCCATTTAATAAGCAAGAATGAACCCCTTGAATCTGTGCTTGCCAATTATGATGAATCCAAAGTTCAAGGCTATGAGGAAGTGTTAGCTGCCTTATCAGGGTTAGGAGTATATTCAAGGAATCCAATCAAGTTGGATATCGAGCTGAAAAATGGAGAAAGTCCTCCTACAAAGCCATCAACAGAAGAACCACTGAATCTGGACTGAAAAGCCCTACCCTCCCATCTCAAATATTCCTTCTTAGGAGCCAATAATACTTTACCAGTGATTATCGCAGCCGATTTTCTTGAAAGGCAGGTGAAATTGCTCTTTGAAGGACTGCGGAAACATATAAAAGCTATTGGATAGACAATAGCCGATATAGTAGGAATTCCTCCTGGCATCTGTACTCATAAGATTCGGCTCGACAGTGAATGTAAACCTAGTGTGGAGCATCAACGGAGATTGAACCCTCCAATGCAAGAGGTGGTGAAAAAGGAGATCATCAAATGGCTAAATGTGAGAGTGATCTACCCTATTGTAGATAGTAAGTGGGTAAGTTCGGTGCAATGTGTATCGAAAAAAGGAGGTATAACCGTAGTCCCAAATTTAAAAAGAGAACTTGTGCCTACAGGACCAGTGGCTGGGTGAAGAGTATGCATGGACTATCGAAAGCTTAACTCATGGACCGAGAAAGACCATTTTCCAATGCCTTTTATGGACCAGATGCTTGATCGGTTATCAGAAAGAGGGTGGTACTGATTTTTGGATGGGTACTCCGGTAACAATCAAATCTCTATTGTGAAAGAAGACCAAGAAAAAACCACTTTCACTTGCCCTTATGGAACATTTACATTCAAAAGAATTCTATTCGGACTACGTAATGCCCCAGCCACATTTCAACGTTGCATGTTGTCTATCTTTGCGGATATGGTCGAAAACTCTATGGAACTATTTATGGACAACTTTTCAGTCGTAGGGGATTCGTTTGAAGAGTGCTTAACGCACTTAGGGCAAGTGCTTCAAAGATGCATGGAAACGAATCTGGTCCTAAATTGGGAGAAATGTCATTCCATGGTGAAGGAAGGTATTGTTCTAGGACAAAAGGTGTCGCAACAAGGACTAGAAGTTGATAAGGCAAAAATTGAGGTAGTTGAGAAACTACCCCCGCCAATTTTAGTAAAGGGTATTCGCAGCTTCTTGGGGCATGCAGGTTTCTACCGAAGATTCATTAAAGACTTCTCAAAGATTGCACACCCACTATGTAAACTCCTAGAGAATGAAGCGAAGTTCTATTTTGATGATGCTTGTATGGCCGTATTTAAGTGTTTGAAAGAAAAATTAGTATCCACCTCGATTATCGTCATTCCTGATTGGTCCGAATCTTTCGATGTAATGTGTGATGCTAGTGGTATGGCATTGGGGGTAGTGTTGGGGTAAAAGCGCAACAAAATACTTCATGCAATTTATTACGCAAGCAAAACTCTAAATAGTGCCTAGCGAAATTATGCGATCACTGAACAAGAGTTGCTCGTAGTGGTCTGTACATTTGAAAAGTTCCGGGCATACTTTCTAGGCACCAAAATAATAGTACACACTGATCACGCTGCACTCCGCTACTTGAAGGCGAAGAAAGATGCAAAACAAAGATTAATAAGGTGGGTGCTACTATTACAAGAGTTCGATTTTGAGGTAAAAGATCGAAAGGGCTGCAAAAATCAAGTGGTCGACCACTTATCGAGGTTGGAAGGGAGGGAAGATGTCGACCGTGAGGTTGACATAGATGACTCCTTCCCCGATGAACAAGTGTTTGCTATATCTCTCAAACCTACACCATGGTACGCAGATTTTGCAAATTACATTGTGAGTGGATTGATGCCGGATGAGCTAACCTTTTACAAACAAAAGAGATTCATGTTCGATGTTAAAAAGTGCTTTTGGGATGAACCATACTTGTTTCGAGAATGTGCTGACCATGTTATTAGGAGGTGTGTTCCGGAAGAAGAAGCGGTAGAAATTCACTATGCTTGCCATGCATCTCCAATGGGAGGTCACCATGGTGGTATTCGCAGTGCCGCTACAGTTCTCCAAAGTTGTTATTACTAGCAGCCCCTATAGAAGGATGCACATGAATTTGCGAAGAAATTCTCTCAATGTCAGCAGCAAGGCGGAGTGTCTAGAAGGCACGAGTTGCCTCTCACTCCTATTTTGGAAGTCGAGCTATTTGATGTATGGGGGATCGATTTCATGGGCCCATTTGTGAGCTCATTTGGAAATAAATATATCTTGGTGGCTGTAGATTATGTTTCCAAATGGGTGGAAGCCGTCGCACTTCTAAACAACGAAGGAGAAAAGTGTTGTCCAATTTCTGAAACCCTACATCTTCACAAGATTTGGCACTCCTAGGGAAATCATTAGCGATGGGGGATCCCACTTTTGTAATAGGTGGTTTTCAATGGCACTGAGCAAATATGGGGTGAAACATAAGGTAGCAACCTCATATCATCTCCAAACAAGTGGCCTAGTCAAAGTATCAAATCGGGAAATCAAAAGCATCCTGGCAAAGACAGTAAATGCCAATAGAACTGACTGGTCTAGGAAACTCGATGATGCACTATGGGCATATCAGACCGCTTACAAAACACCTATCGGTATGTCTTCATATCAGTTGGTTTATGGTAAGTCTTTTCATTTGCCCGTTGAGTTAGAACACAAAGCATTATGGGCATTGAAAGCCTTAATTTGGACTGGTCAAAAGCTTCAAGAGAGAGGGTAGAGCAGTTGAACGAACTGGACGAATTTAGACTCAGATCGTATGAAAGTTCAGCCATCTACAAAGAGAAGATGAAGAAATGGCATGATGCTGGATACTCAAGCGGGACTTTAAGGTAGGATATTGGGTTTTGTTATACAACTCTCGACTTAGACTCTTTCTCGGAAAGCTCAAATCCAAATGGTCTGGACCTTTTAGAGTAACGCGAGTGTTCACCAATGGTGCCATAGAAGTTGAATATCAACAAGGACCTCCATTTAAAGTGAATGGTCAACGTCTGAAATTATATTTTGGGGATTGTCAAGAGATTTCTTTGGTTGGAGTGATGTATTTGGAAAACGCCTGAAGGCGCTGCTGCGTCGTGCCGCGACATTAACTAAGGCACTGTTTGGGAGGCAACCCAAAACCCCTTTAATTTTTTATTTTTTTTCTTTTATTTATTTCTTGGTAAAATAATAGTGTGTTGTTTGCACAGGTTAAAGTATGAGAAGTGTTCGAAAAGGTGAAGGATGGAGAGCAATAGATCCAGTCGGCTAATCTGACCTTATCCACCACTTGACTAAAGACATCTTTAACATTGGAGTCTTTAAAACTCGGCGAGCTTTGGAAATTATTGGCGAATCGCCAACTATGTCGGTGATCACGATGGAAACCGTTGTTTGGACCCCCCGTAAACCAGAGGTCCTGTAAATTTCGACGAAGAAACTAAACAGTCGGCGTTCTGCTGAGTGAGTAGGCGAGCTTGACTAATGTCGCCAAATGGGAAAAAACTGGACGATTTTTGCAAGCCAAAGGTGTAAAAGTTTCAACTTCATTTACTTTCCCTCACTTTTTATCGGTCCAAACTCACACATGCACTCTAGTTTCTATATTTCTTGCACTTCTACAGCATTTTAGTTGTTGAATTGTGCTCGGACTTGGATTACATTGCCCCTTAGAATTTCAATCCTCTCCTGAGCGACCCAAAAGAAATGGCTAGACCGAAAGTAGCTGAAAGAGTTATGCCACCCCGACAAACAAGAGCAAAAAATTTCAGGAAAAATATAAAGGCGATAGATCCTCCCAAAACAGATAATGAGGGCAAGAAACCCAGTGCAAGCAAGAAATAAATTACTGAGACCCCACTATTCCCTCATGGAGACGTGGATTCTTCACAGCTATCCAGTCCTTTCTGGAGGCTCATGATTTGGACAATCTTAGCAATTTAGCTGCTACTGAATCATCTGAAGAGACTTCGGGCATTGATGCCCAGATCCAGAGTGACATATCGGGCACTGATACCCAAGGAAATGGAGTGACTGCTTAGACAGGATCCCTTTTTTACCTCCCTCTCTGTCTTCCTTTAATTTACATTCTGGATATTTTTTTATTTACATTTGAGGACAAATGTTTTTGTTTGTGGTGGGGTGAGGCCCACACCTTTTGTGTGCTACTTTTGTTAGTCTTTTGTGTTTATAATTGGGCTGTTCTGTTTAAAATTGTGTTAATATTGCTTTTCTGTGGATGTTTGAGCTAGTGGCACCTTTTATTTTTAAATTGCAAAATGATTTTGACCCTTCCGATTTTTTTTGAATTTTTCACACATTTTCACCACCCTTTATATACTGTTGAATGTGGCTGTTCCTTGGCAAATTTGAGTCTCAGTTTCGATCAATACCGATGACTTGAATAGTTCTTACAATCGAACGAACATGAATGTATGGTTACAATGAGGCCAAATGAAGTTGCATAGACAATATGTGAACCCTTTGCATCTCATTGTGATTACCTATTTATCAAATCGATTCTCTTGTGATGACCGTTGCACACTAGCAAAGTGTGGAGTCTTGTTTAACTTAAATGTCAATGCCTTGTGTGATAAGCTTACCTGGAACCATGCATGACAACACCTAGAATTTGCCTAATTGGTCTGGTTGACTAAGTAAGCCTTTCTCTTGACATGATCTTTGGCAATTTTGAAGAGTGTGAGCCAATTTGACATATTTCTCTTTTGTGGCCTACCTTGTGAGTGTGTGAATCTCTCTTGAACACCCCTTGAACCTTAACATTCTTTGGAAGAAACTTGATGAAAACTAGACCTTTTGTAATCCATTACCTTTAATACTCTTGATTTGTGGTTTAATGAATAGCCAACTTAGGCCAAAAGCCTAAGTTGGGGGTGTGGTTAAAAGAAAAGGGAGAGTCAAGAAGTGCAAGGAAAGTCTCCTTTAACCCATGGTGTTGAGAAAGATGGAACCCCTTCATATAAAAAAAAAGAAAGAGAAGAAGAAAAGAAAAGAATGAAAAAGAAAGTTGTGGAATAAAGTACCAAAGCAATAGGGTTCCGAATAATCCATGGGAAGTCAATAATAGGATGACCTATGATGCACTAATGAAAATGATGAAGGAAAAAAAAGAAAGTATTGAGAGCACCACATTTCATGAGGATAAACGTCACTGAGCCTAAATGACCATACATTTGCACTCAGCTCCGTTACAAGCCTTGTTAAGACCTTTGTGATCTTAAGAAAGTCGAAACAAATGTTGATTGGAAAATACAGGCAAACCTATGGGTGAAAGCATGCATTGTGTTCATCTTTGTGAGTGTGAGCGTTATATCTAATTCTTGAACCTTCAATTGATTATACCTTTGCGTGTGAAAATGGAATCATCATTTGTGTGAGGGCATTTGAAGGCTTTTGTTGAGCTTGAACTTGCATTTGAAGCAAGTATTGCGAGCTTGAGAATCTTTGGTAATGGTGTGTCACAACTTTAATCCTTGAGTACACAATTGATCCTTGCATAAGTAAATTGAGTCTTGTTGTGTACATTCATAATTGAGTCTTGTGTAGCACTGTTTGATATATCATTGTTGAACTGTTGAACTTGAGTTTTACTTGAGGTACAATCAAAAAGTTTAAGTTGGGGATGTTGATGAGTCCACAAATTGGACTCATTTAGGGCTATATTTTAATAGAAATTGTGTCCTCAAATGCTTATTTTATCTTAATATCTGATGAAAACCTTTAAGTTTCAGGTATTTGAAGTTTGAAGGAAAGCATGGACACTACGTCGCAAAAGGAATAAAAAGGCTAAAAAGAAATGAAGAAATAAAAGGTCTGAGGATCGCCGAGTCCACTTGGTGAGTCGTCGAATGGTCCTACTTCTCCTTTTGGTCCATGTGCTGAGCCCTAAATAAACGGATCAAGTCGGCAGAAAATGGGAGCAGTCGGCGAATTGCAGAGAAGTTCCGCGAAGCAGTACCATGCTGCCCAATGACCCAGAGCACGACGATGCTGAAGGCTGGTTCAAGACGGCGATGAACTACACCAAAGGGCGAATCGCCAAGTTGATCGGCGATTTCAACTAATGATGCTGAATGATCTGCTGCAGCACAAATCTGTGAAACCTATAAATAATAGTTAGAGTTTTAGTTTTAAGTGTGGAATAATTATTATAATTTTCATATAGAATAGTACTTTTTGATAAATTTGCTCTAAGCTTGAGAGGGTTTTGAAAACTTGAAGATCCAAAGGGTTTCATCTTCAAAATTTGGATTTGGGTCTCTTGGATTCTTTGATTTTGGCCTGTATCAAGACTTAAATCTTCATACCCAGTTGAATGCAATCTCAATTTGGTATAAATTTCTATCTCTTATGCATGTGTGGCTAAAAACCCATTCTGGGGTGTGATTTAGCAAATATGGGTTAAGATAAATGTTGGGTCTTGCTTGCTGATAGTTTAATCGTAGTTTAATTGTGATTTCGTTTAGTAGTTGTGGATGAACTTAATGAGGTTGTAGTTGCAAAATATAATCTCATATATGTTTTTTTGGCTTGCTCGAGAGAGAGGTCATAAAACTAAGACCACTAAATTGATGGCCAGTGCGAGTTGGTCGACATAAGGTTCAGCTCGAGAGAGTGAACCAAAGTCCCATGTCAACACACTCAGCTCGAGAGACTGAGTGGGTTAAGGCGGAGGCTGTTCTTCATGCGGAAACTAGGTGTCCGAGAGGTACCCGCTTGAAACGGGGTAAGTTGCTCGAGAGAGAGCTTATCCCCCTTAAAGTCTAGCCTAGTCATAATTATTCTATGAATCTTCTATCAAAAGCATGTACCCAATTATCTAGCTTAACCCGTATTCCCGTCATCCCAAGGATCCCCTCTCATTGCTTAGAAATCCTTATTTATTTTGCTGTTTTTACTTACTAGTGACAAAACTCCCCATTGTTAATTGACACTATTTTATCCCTCTTTAATTTACCATGTTTTCAATCGTTAATGTCTTTAGCTACGACTAGTTAGAACTAAGTTTTATTTTTCTATTAATTCTCAAAACCAATCTCTTGGGAACG